GCAGTGACAATATCGCCTTGAAGCAAAACCGTCCGGTGGTGAGGCACACGAACGGCTGCATGTGCTACAAATGCTCGGCTGACTCTCACTGTGTGTGTCACCATTCATGTGTGAGTCAGAAAGAAATGTCCTCCAATGACTCTGTTGGAGGTGACGCAAAGGGCCGGCGGGTCGACGGCCATGCGATTGATGCTGCAGGTGAGACCTCAGAAGCACAGCGGACAGACTGACTGACTGACGGACAGACGTGGTGCGGACCACATCTGCTTGCACAGGCATCAGCGTGATGAGTGATGCGGCAGCTCACCACCACGAGCAGCACCAGCAGGGGCACAGTCAAGCAGCATCGGTGAGGCAAATACAACGCGCCACTGTGTGAATCACTGAGTCTCACTGTGTGTGCCTATGGTCGCTCTCTGTGCAGGCATCCCCCCCTGTGTGTGGCGGGTCGGGCGATGTGTGTGGTCGGCTGGCGGCCATACACTCACTCATAGAGCAGGTGAAGGACACACAGACATCGACCCACTGAGGGATGGATGCCATGACTTGTGTGCTCTGTGTGTGTGTGTGTCAGGTGGCCACTGAGGTGTCTGCCGTCGACCCGCTGAAAATGACGTCCATCCCGGCTGACCAGGTGAAGTCACACAGACACAGTGGGAGGGGCGGCTCAACACATCCCGCTTTATCTGTCGTCTATGTGATGGATTTAGGCGTCCGTCATTGCCCATGAGTGGTCATCCGTCAAGTCGAGCGTGTCGACCCTCTCGGCTGCCATTCAGACCATCGCCCACCACATCTCTGCCGCCCCGCCCCCTCCCCCCTGTCAACCAGACACCACACAGCAACCTGGCCCCCCTCACCCCACCACCACCACCCCACCCACAGCCACTACTGCTGGTGGCAACAATGCCGTGGACGTGACGGCCAACCGGCTGCCGGCCGAAATTTACCGGGATGGAGTGGTGGGGTACCTCCCTGTCGACGTGGCCATCAGCCCGGCGCGGGCAACAAACACGCACTACGGCACACAACTCATCAACGAGGCCTTCATGCTCAAGCGCATCGATGGCTCCCTCGACAGCAACCATTTGACCGGCCTCGTCGATGTGTATCGGTCGATGTTCGGCTACTACAGCAAATGCGCCTTTGTGCTTGAGCGAGGAGGGGCGCTATGGCAGCAGATGGCCGACTTCATCCACCTGGCGCGCAACCGCAAGCTCATCAAGGCACTGCCCCTGCAGCTGTCGCCACAGTGGACGGCCGACCACCTGGCCACCAAGACGGCCTTCGATGAGCTGCCCCTCGCACTGGCCGTCTACAGCACGTTCGGCCATTTGCTCAGCCACCGAGGGACCAGCCTGGCACTGCAGCGGGTGGATGAAGAGCAAGAGGATGCCGACGATGGCGGCAACGAGAGCGGCCAGGACAGCGACAGCGCCATGGACGACAGGAGCGAGCAACACGATGCCGACATCGGCCAGCAGCATCAGGCAGAAGGTGGCGGCGGAAGTGCCATAGAGGAGGGAGCAGGGCGCCCCAGAGGAGGGCAGCCGGGCGATGGCAGTGGTGGCGTGACGAGGCAGCGCTACAGAATCGGCAATATCGACTTCACGACCGTCCCCCTGTCCGATCTGCCGCCCACCTACCCCTACCGAGCCACATACGATGCCGCCAACCCCGCCATCCGCCGGGGTGACTATCTCTACCCATCATTCACGACCTTCATCAAGCGGACCGTCCTGCTGCTGTGGTATGACCAAGAGGGGGCGCAGCAGAAGCTGGTGGCCGCTGTTTTTGTCGGTCGTGACGACACTCGGTATTGGTCCCTGCTGACGGCAGCAACTGTCGAGGGCTGCGAGATCGTCGACCTCATCGAGGAGCGTGGGTTCGACGGTGATGACGACCGTCGGCGACTCATCATCCTCAAGGGCACCAAGGCAACCGATACCATCGTGGCCTACCTGTGGCTGGTAGATGGCAACATCCGGCTTCACACGACCGAGGCGCCGACAGAGGACCGCACGGCCATCGAGCGGTACCCCCTCGGTGTGACTGCCGCTCGGCCCCTGCTGACCGAATATCGGCTGGAGCGAGCGCTCCTCGGATAAATTTCTCCCTTAGCGGTGGGTGGGGTGGGCTGGGTTGAGGGAGAGTGAGTGCTCGTGACAGTGCATTGGATTCTCTCATTGCTTGTGTGTCGTGCTGCATTGGTGTTGGTAGGTGGTGCGTCGCTGTGGGGGATGGATGTATCAGACGGCGACATTCTGGTGAGTGAGGCGGCTTGGGGTGAGAATGGCAGCGTGGAGGCGTGACTGTCTTCTCATTTCTCATGTCTGAGCATGTTCGTGCCGCATCGATGAGTGCGGGCGGGTGAGTGGTGTGTGATGTGATACTTTGACAGTTTGCCCTTAACGCTGATGACACACGCACGTCGATTGCATTGGCTGAGTGCTTGCAAAGTCCTGATTTATTCTCGTTGTGCGTCCTCACCCACGCACACGGAAGACACAGACACTCATGCAGACACTCAGACACACAGCAGAGACGTGCGGGCAATCAATCAATTGTGAGGCACCTCGACGCGTCCACAAAACGAAAGCACCACCTTGCCATCGTGGCGTGCATTGAATGCATTGGATAAATAAAACGAGTCATGCCAACATCGATCGACCAACCAACCGTGTGTGCGTGTGATTCGAGTGCACACCTGTATCCTCTATGCATCTACGCTATGCCGCCATCTCTGCATTCCGCCGTGGTGCGCACACGCAACACACCAAACCACCTCCCCCACTCGCACGCCCATGTAATTAGAACGGAAGAAGCCTCTGTCTGTCTGTCTGTCTGTGTCTGCCGAGTCCCAGTGAGTCGGTGCGTGAGCGGCCGGGGAGCAATTGGCTGTTCGGCCCATCCATCCACTCATCGGCCAGGAAAACTCGCAACCTCACCCACACGCAGGCATGCACGCAGGCAGACAGGTAGAGAGACAACAGGGGGGCTTGACGAACACAAACACCACTGTCTGTCGGTCAGGCGGGGGAAAAGAAAAGCAAGAGAGAGGGGAGAAATGGGACAGACAGACCACACGAGACAGCCAGCCAGCCATCCGGCCGGCCAGCCCTTCACACTCCCACTTGTACGGCAACATCACACACACACATGTACCCAGATAGATGCACACTTAAACCCACACGCAACATGAAATCCATCCATCCAGCCATCCATCCAGCCATCCGACCCCACGCGCACCTCTCTGCACGTACACGAACACAGAAACCGCTGTTGGCCAACAGCGGCGCCATTGCTACCTCCCTCACGTCACGCCACCCACATCATTGGTTGGCTGTCTCGGTGTCAGTCAGCCTCAAAACGACACCACATCCATCCATTCATCCATGTCTGCCATGTGTGAGTGTGTGTAGGCTCTCTTCGAGAGATTTCAAAGGTGACGATCGTCCGTCCGTCCGCTTCTTGTGGAGTGGTCAGTTGGGCACCCCGTTCAGCATGTTAGTGATCTGGGCGATCTGAACAACACACAAAAACCACACAACCACCACACACACACACACACACACAGTGTCACCACGAGATGAGAATGGGATGGTGGCGCCCATTTCCCGTATTCCCTTCATCCACCCGCCCCCTCTCTCTCCCCCTCTCTCTCCGTGCTGTGTGTGCTGTGTGTGTGTATGGGCACATACGTACCTCACCAGTGAAATCAAAGGTGCATCCGCTCCGCTGGATGACGTGCCGTGCGGCGTAGTGGGCCATGAAGACGCAGAAGTCCAGGTCCTTGTCGATGGCCAGGCCGTAGAGGAACCCGCCCACGAAGGCGTCCCCCGCCCCATTGGTGTCGACCAGCTTGGACCGCTCGAGCGGCTCGACGGGGTAGGTGGTGACCTTGACGCCGGCGCCCTTCCACTGTGTGGCGACGATGGTCGACTCGCTGCCCTGTGTGACGACGACCATGCGGGGCCGCTTGTGGTTGACCTTGGGCATCTCGGCGATCTTCTTGGCGATGGCGACGTTGTCGGTGGTCTCGATGCCGTGGACCTTGCCGAAGTGGGCGCACTCGGACTCGTTGCCGAAGAGGATGTCGACGTACGGCATGACCTGCATCATGGGCTCCCTGAAGAACTCTATCAGGAAGGGCGCGCTCAGGTTCATGCAGTAGAGCTTGTTGGTCTTGGCGCAGTGGTCGGCCATGGCCAGCATGGCGGGCGGGTTGACGGTGAGGAAGAAGGAGGCCGAGTAGCAGATCTTGGCCTTCTCGACCTGCTCCCACACCTTGTACTTGAGGTGGTCGATGGGGTAGTCGTTGGCCGCGGCGATGTTGGCCACCAGCGACCGCTCCCCGCTCACCACCGGCACCGCACAGCTGCCCGTGGGGTTCTTGTCGCTCTCGGCGAACAGCGGGATGAACCCCTCCTTGCTCGCAATGCCCTTCATGACCGAGCCGTAGTTGTCCTTGCCGATGCACCCGATGTAGGCCGTGCCCTTGGGGCGACCCAGCAGCGCCTGGCACACGCGGATGGCGTTGAGCGTGGCGCCGCCGGCCACGTACGTGACGGAGAACTTGGCGTCCATGTCGGCGTAGATGGGCAGGTGCTTCTCCTCCGCCAGGATGGCGTTGTTGGGCTTGATGCCGTACGAGTCCAGGAAGTCGGGCGTCACGTCGGCAATGATGTCCAGCAGGGGGTTCCCCATACCCAGCACGGCGATCTCGCTCATTTCGGTAGATGGACGGATCGAGGGCGGGTCAATGCGATGCACACGTCGGTGGGGGATGGGGTGGGGAGGCGCAGGGAGGGAGGGAGGGAGGGAGAGGGGAAGGGTCTCAAGGGTCGCACCGGACGCAGATCAGTGGGATGTCAGGAGAGATCTGGGGTGCACAAGGCCTTGTGCGGACGGGCAGACGGCTGTGTAGCCTCTTTGGCTTCAAGCGGTCTGCAGGAGAGCGGTTTCGCGCGCAGTTCATTCGCAGCGGTTTCAGGGAGCACCCTAGGTGGCCTGACGGCCAAGTCCCCTGTCGGTCTGTCCAACATGAAACAGGCACCCTAACATGCAACCCGGACACGCAACACGCAGCACGCAGAGGGCAGATGCAGCAGAGAGGAGGATATGCAATGCGCTGCGAACGACGGCCACATACAAGCAGGCACACAGCGTCGCACACACGCCACCCCAGCAGCAGCTTGAAGGCGGCGTGCGTGCGTGCGTCAGGCACCATGACTCCATACGTAGATACCGCCCATCCCCAGGTTTCACGCGGGGTTGCAAGCTCAAGCAGCGACGGGCAGGAGGGGAAAGAAGGTGGGCGCGCAACGGGCCGTGACGAACCACAGGTACGTCAGATAACCAGAAAAGCATCAGATCCATACAACTCAGTGTTGTCCTTGGCTCCCTGGTCCATCCAACCTCTCAGAGATTCCTTCTCTGTTGGCGTGCGTCTTGAGGGCATACATACATCGTAGACGTTCCATCCAGGCGTCTAGGCGTGTCTACGGCCGCTCTGGGGCCGCCATGGGCAGCCGCCGCCTACAGGCGGAGAGAAGGCCCGATGCGCACTGAGGCCGAGTGACGATGGATGCAAGACAGTCCCAGAGTCCCTCCCCTCCCTCCTGCCCAGCAACACGGCACGAACCAATCCGCCTCAGGCGCATCCGCCCTGCCAACCTCTGCCTCTGCCGCTTCATCGAGTCAGCTGCCAGGCCATGCTCCTGCTCCTTCTGCTGCTGCTGGGCCCACTGGGGTTGAGGAGGCTGTCGTCCAGCGGTTTTACGAGCACATGCGCATCTTTTGCCGATCGACGTTTGACAAGCCGTTCGAGGCGCTGGCGTGGGGCGAGGGGGCGGGCGAGTGGGAGGTGGCAACCTTCGATGCCGACAAGATCCTGCAAGAGGTGCAGGAATCGACCTTCATCGCACCCAACCCTTGGTGAGTCAGTGGCAGTGGGGGAGGGAGGGAGGGAGGGAGGGAGGGAGGGACATGTCTGCTGCACCCACCCACGTGCCATGCGGCTGTCGGTCTGTGTGTCATGTCAATGATACATATATCAGGTTCTTCAACCACTCGGGCAATAAGGTGTTTGAGCTAGATGACAGCGACAGGGTGCTCCAGGGAGGGGCCATGGCGGGCGACGACCCCGTTCTCTTCAGAAACGGTCGGCACAGTGCCGTCCCTGCACATCGACTTGAACACACACACAGCCACCACACACCCGACACGCCAGCCAATTAGACACATCTTCCCCTCCTTCTCTCTCTCTCTGTCCATCTCTGCTCTGCAGGTGACATATACAGCCTGCCGGCCGGCTGGACGCGGGTCGGTCTGCGGCTGCCGCCCCCCGACCTCTACGCCGCCTTCAACGTCGTCTACAGCGGCCTCTCCACATCTCTCGGCTTCTTCGAGGCGTCGCTTTTGCTGCCGGTGCGGCGCAAGGAGGACGGGAGGCAGCAGATCCGCATGCCCATCGACAGGGCGCCCGGCAGCCTTATCGGGAGGGAGGTGCTGCCCCCGCTGCGTGTGACGGGGAGGATGAGGTGTGCGAGTCCGTCGCTGGAGCTGGCGTCGCTGTCGTCGCAGCCCTTCTCTTTGGGCGGCAAGTATGTGCTGTATGCCCTGCAGCTGCTCGTCAACCCGAACCAGATCAGACACTCCTACTCGGACGCACTCCAGTGAGTCGCAAGGGAGGGAGGGAGGGAGGGAGGAAGGGCGCACATGCTGGATCGGTGTGTGTGTGGTGTGTGTGTGTGTGTGTGTGTGTGTGGCCAGCCCGACTCTGTGGCCGCCCGACCTGCCCTACACGCTTCACCATCCCGTCGACCGTCTGCAGTGCTCTCTGGTCCCCGACCTCTCCCTCCCACCCCTGCCCCAGCCACCCACCGCTCACCGCACCGCCACATTCCTACCAAACACAGCCACACACGTCCCCGGCCAGCTGAGAGAGGAGATCTCCCTCCTTCCCCTCCCGCACAGAAGGGGCAGGAGGCGGCAACCGAGAGGCGACCACAACCCTGTCCCTGAGGTGGTGTTGCCGGCCTCCCCGGCGTCATACTCGCCTGACCGGCTGGCGTCTGCAGCCTTCGACTACGCCGCTGTGGGTCTGCTGTTCATTGAGCTGACTTCCCATCCGTCTGAGCATCGTTTGGTGCGGCAGCGGATGATCAGCGAGGCGCTGGCGCAGCGGAGGGCGTCGAGAGATGCGGTGTGGTGGTACAGGTCGGAGCAGGGACGGGGCGGCGGCGGCGGCGGGGGTGAGGGGCAGTGGGTGCGGTTCAGCGAGGCGGTGCAGGCGATGCTCAATCGGGACTATCGCGAGGGACAGGCCGTGTCGCGACCATTCGCCATCGACCGAAGAGATGAGGTGTGTTGTGTGTTGTGTGTTGTGGGGGGGTGGGGGGGCTGGGGGGGTTGGGGGGGCTGAGGGGCTCACAGATGCGATCGATGCGGCCATCCATGGAACCAGTCTGTTTGTCTGGTGCTGTTTGTGGTGTGGTGTGTGGTGTGCAGTCTTGGGGCTATGATGATCCGTGGGAGATGGTGTTTGCCCTGCCGGTTGCGCGAAGGATACGCGACCATCGCGAATACCTGGAAGTGCAGACGCACAGGGCTCCCATTCAAACAAGGGTCAGACACAGACAGACAGACAGACAGGGGTCCACCCCTCACTCCCTCTCTCTTTCTGCGTCTGGTGTTTTGCAGGAGTTGCCTGGCGCCTCCCCCTACCCCCTCCCCCTCCCCCCGCCCACGTACATCCGAGCAGCCACTGACAGTTCCTTCGCGCCCCCAGCCCCCCTGCGCATGCCCCCACGGGCGCAGCAGGCCCCCGACGCGGCCTCGTATCCCTCATATCCCTTGTACAGCCAAGCTGAAGGCGCACACGCGGAGGGGGTGGGCGAGAGGGGCGCACAGCCGCAGCCACAGCCACAACCACAGCCACAGCCTCCGCCGCCGCCATACACTGAGGACTGAGGGCGTCGTGGGTCTGTAGAGTGAGTGTGTCGTGTTGGCCGTGGATATGTATGGGTCGGTGAGAGGGATGATATGAGACAGACGATGACGGCAATTTGTTGGCGTACGCTGCATGTGTTGTGTGAGTGAGTGAGTGAGTGATGAATGGTGGTGCGATGCATGTGTGTGGGGGGGGAGGGGTGTGTGTGTCTGAGTGTGATGTGAGTGGGCTTAATTTGTGGATGGACTGCGCGTGTGTGTGTGTTTGTGTGTGTTTGTGTGTGTGTGTGTGTGTGTGTGTGCCTATGGGGGCCCTTCCATCCATCCATCCATCCACCGATCCATTTTGCAGGAGCAGAGCAGCCAGCCAGCCAGCCGGCTATGCGCACCGAGCTACCTAGTTCCTGGCTGCCGGCCTGCCGGCATGGCCACCATGCCATGCGACTGCTCTCTGTATGAGCGCCTTTTCCGTCGCTTTGCCTGGCTGTGGACGGTCAGGCAAGCTGAGGCCTGACTGATTTTTGCGCCAGCACACTCACTGGGAGATGAGCTGGTCGGATGGATGGATGGATTGACGAGTGAGGGACAGACAGACAGGCATTGGCACTGCCAGGCAGCTGCCAGACTGACTGGGGTGGGGGGGTATTTGAATGCGGAGATTTCTGGCCGATTTGTGGTGTGCGCGTGTGATTCCTCTCTCCTCTCTCCTCTCTCCCCTCTCCCCTCTCCCCCTCCCCTCCCACCTTGGCGCCTGTCTTTGTTACCTAGTGCAGTGACCGTCACAGGCAGACACACAGGGGATGGGTGGGTCTGAGGGATCGGTTGGCACTGGTTTTGTGGAGGCTTGTGTGAGTGAGAGTGCAGCGAATGAAGAAGTGAATGAGCGATGAGATGAGATGAGCGGTGTGTCGATGCGTCTGTGGGGCGATATATGGCCCGTCGACCCACCCCTCAGAGCACCCACAGAGAGAACGAGAGAAGGAGAAGAGCGCGTGTGTGTGTATGTGTGTGGCTCCAGCGCGTGTGTGTGGGTGTGTGGGTGTGTGTGAACGACTGACTGACTGACTCTGTGTGCCGGAGCTGCCTCCTTTGAATGTGTGTGTGCCTTGAGTGCGGTTTGTGGTGTGTGTATCTTTCTCTGCGGGTCTGTGTGGTGTATGTGTCACTTTCATTCATATGGGGCGATGGGGGGACCGGAAGCAGCAGGCAGGCATTCACATCCCTGCCTGCCTGCCTGCCTGCCACGGGAGGGAGGGAGACTTTGGGGGGAATTTGTAAACGGACAGACAGACAGACAGAAAAACAGGCAGACAGACTTAACTCTCACTCACCAATTGTGCAGCTGCCTTACTTACAGACCTGGTCATGCCTCCCTCCTTTTCAGCCATCCCTGCGCGTATGCCAGCACACACGCACTAACAGGTGTCAAAAGCATCATGTCATTCAACCGCACTCACTGGCCAGATGCCTGCGGGGGCTTGTGCCGTTCCTCCGCACCGGGCCAGAAACTCGCGACCTGGCCAAGAAGAGGATCTCCGGGGTTACGAGTCTCGTTAAACAGAACCCAGAACACAACAACCAGAACGATTAGCAGGATAATGGAGGAGCAGGGCATGGAGGGGGAGGTGGCGTACACCTCCTCAGCTCCAGCCCACCAATATCGCAGGTAGGAAGCCGTTTCACCTCCACGCTCTCGTACTACCGAATATGCATCTTCCTCCCACGATCCCTGCTGCGTGCCCTGTGCCGCCTTTCAGCCCCGCCCTGGTGGCCTCGGAGGGTCCCCCCGGCCTCTCCAAAGCACCCGACGCGCACACCAACCACACCAATGACCTCCACAGCTCCGTGTTGCGCGCCCACCATCCCACGGACGGCCGCTCAGCAGCCGCTGAGGGCACCACCAGCAGGCTGGCTGCGGGGATCTGCGGTGGGCGAGGGCAAGGTGGTGGTTTCGGGATAGCTACTGACGATGAGCAGCGGATGAGCAGGATGGAGGAGGTAGAGGGAGAAGCGCCACGCTTGGGTCAGCACAGCACAGCACAGCACGGCGCAGCAGAGGAGGAGGAGGAGTAAAGACCCTACGCTTGGGCGAGGAGGGCGCGGCGCCATTCCCTCTCTCTCACAAAGTTGCGTGTGTGTGTCTCTGTGGGCTGTGTGTCCAGGGGTTTTGCCGGGCGGTGCCTCTGAGTTTTGTGCAGCCTTCAAGGGCGCCCTGGACCAGGCCATGCCACCGCTGCCGCGCCAGAAGAAGCGGCCCAACACCACACGCACCGATAGCGACCTCCATGGGCTGAACATGCTCGCCACGGCCGTCGAGGAAGAAGAGGAGGAGGGAGAGGAGGAGTACCGACGCTACCACGGCCAGCGCAAGTGGCGAGGCAAGAGGGGCGACGTGGCGGCTGTGGCGATGGGCATGGGTATGACCATGGCCGACGACAGCGCCTACTGGCAGCGGCGGCTGGTGCCCCTCGCCGTCATCGCCGCGCCCGTCATGAAGAAGAGGAGCAAGATGGACCTCCTCAAGGACCCCGCCTTGGCCTTCACCGACCCCCTGCTGGCCTCTGCTCAAAGTGAGTTCAGTCAGTGACTGACCAGCCACGCACCCACCCATCGCACAGAACGTTTCGCAAGCCAATAAGGCACATACGTACGTCACACCGTGTGTGTGTGAGTGTGCGTCGTCAGGTATCAGGAGTGAGGAGGAGGGGGAGGACGGCGGGAGTGGGAGCGGGAGCGGCGGCTGGCTCGAGGGCATCAGGGTCAAGAGCCGCAAGAGGAGCCGCCGGCAGTCCCGCACCAAGCAGGCCGCCAAGAAGCAGCGGAGCCGGCGCGGTGGCAGACATGCGATAGCAGATAGCTGTGACGATGACCATGTTGACGAAGAGGAGGCGGACCAGCAGTTGGAGGCTTCCGAGGGGGGAGAGGACGAGGGGGAGGGGGAGAAGGGGGAGAAGGGCGGTAGCATCTTCGATGGTGACAGTGCGGACGTGACGGCGTCGATTAGCATCCGGGGGCACCGGGCCACCTGCGCAGAGATGCAGGAGCTCAACCACTGCCCAGCTGAAGCGGTATGCTTGCTGTCTGTCCAGAGGGGAGAGGGGAGGGAGGGAGGAGGTGTAGGATGCGATGCACTCCACGAGTGTGTTGTGTGTCATGCTCATGTGTGTGCAGATGATCCGTTACCAGAGCGGTATGCAGCTGACCATAGGCGAGGCGGGCAGGGAGATCGTCAGAAAGGCCGTACGGCTCACAGGTGGGCGGGTGGGTGGGTGGATGGTGGACGGTGGACGCACACGCCACACCACACACAGAATGCACCCACCATCAAGGCAAGGCAGCAAAGCAGCCCGTTCTTCTTGGCTTATTGGGTTGATGCGTGTCAGGTATGTCTGGCCATCGTATCTGCTTGCTCCGCAACCCGGAGCTCCTGCGCCTCGCTCACAAGCGGTCAGTCTACCCGGGTGGTGTGAAGACAGGCACACAGGCAGGCACACAGACATACATCGACCAGCCTCCTGATCTCTGTCCTCCCTCTCCCTCCACTGTCCCGTCTGTCCGATCAGTGGTTTGTGGCCGATGGTGTGCCGTCTCTACCAAGAGCACTCCAACAACGGCCTGCCGATGTCGCCGCTCCACCAGGCAATCCGCTCCAAGATGGGCGCAAGAGACCGGGACAAGGCCGGCCAGGCCGGCCAGACCAAATCCAAAAGGGACAAGACCAAGAACAAGCCCAAGAGTCGCCGGTCATCCTACCTGCCACTGACCAGTGGTGGTGTGGGTGTGGACAAGGCCTCCTCCAACAACCAGCCGCCGGCCGAGGAGGACATGGAGTACGCCATGGCGGTGCTGAGTTGGGCGGGTCGCGTGTCGGTGTCGCGGCGGGGGGGCAGTCGCCACACCCTGGGCCACGACGAGTCGCACCCCGAGCACCAGGAGGGAGAGGAGGAGGATGACGACATAGAGGAAGAGGAAGAGGAGAAGGACGATAGCGAGGAGGTCAGTGAGCACAGACAGATGGGGGAGGGAGGGATGAGGGGAGACGGACGCAATGAACGTCTGTCTGTCTGTCTGTCGGCCTGTGGCTCCGTCTGTCTACGGGTGTGGTGTGCGTCTCGTTGGTTCGTTGGTTCGTTCCTCCATTCAATGGTTTCAGGTGTGTGGTGACGGTCCGCCCGGTGCGCCGCATCAGCTGCAGCCCACGCCGTTGCTGTCGGCCGAGGCGCAGATCACGGCCTACCAGGCACAGTACCACCACAGCCACCACCACCCCTACAACACTGAGGGCATACACTACAAGTAGATAGATAGCAGAAATAGCTACGGGACAGGGAAGGGGCAATTGTGGGTGGGTGGGTGGGCGGGCGGGGTATAGTGATGGCGTGTGCGGTGCCATTGAAGGGTGATTGATTGACAGTGCCTGATTGTGGGTGCGTCTGGCTGATTGGGATTGGGGGTGGATAGACTGCTGGTGGGTGTTGTGCACTGTGTGTGGTGTGGTATGTTTGCAACTCGCACAACGACAGACGGGTTGATTGTCCATCCATCCATTCAGCCATGAGTGTGTTGAGATCAAACACGCGTTAATAGTTGTACAACCAACGTTGATCACATGTGACTAGTCAGTCACTAGAACGTGTAGACGTTAGTGCAGCATACGTCACGTCACGTCACATACCATGCACACACCACACCCCCTGTCTGCCTGACAGACAGCTCACACATCGATGATCCATCCATCAACCATCCAGCAATTCAGACACAGGGAAAAAACACTTGCCGGCAGCACATTAACCTCATCACACCCACATCCTTCCCCCCTCCCCCCACCACCCCCCTCAACGAGTGAGTGAAAGGCTCGTTTATCAGCAGACACGCGCAGCGGGGAAAAAGATCCCCTCCCTCCCTCCCTCCCAGACACCGCCCATCACGCAGCTCCCTCCCAGCTGACAAGACATCAACAAACGAGTGGTCTGGCCTTGTGGTTGCTCTTGATGTGATGCCGTCCGTCGAGTAAGCCGTCAGTTTTGGAGCGTGCGCGTCTTGCTGCCCGGTGTCCCGATGACCTTCCAGGAGATGTAGTGCTGCCAGTCGACGAGCTCCGGCTTGGGCTGCTCGAACTTCTTCTTGGGCGGCGTCTTGGGCCGCGGCTTCTCCTTCGGCTTGTCCTCCTCCTTGCCCTTCTCAGACTCCTCCTTGGCCTCCTCCTCCGCAGCAGAAGAGCTCTTCGGCTCCTCCTTGGCGCTCATGACGAAAATCGACGCACCGACAGACTCAATCAACACGTGACAGGCGGGAAGATCTCCGCGCGATTCTTCAAGAGGAACTGCGAGCTTGAAGGGGGCCTCGAAGCTAAGCGCGCAGCAAAGGACGGTGGGGGAAAGAAAGCGAAAAGGATGGCGTCGTTTGCTTCCCTGTTGGATCAGCTGCTGCAGGGCAGCGGCCCCACGCCCATCGACGAGGGCGTGCAGCTGCTCGAGAGCAAGTTCATCGACACGCACAAGCGCTACCTCGAGCTCTGCAAAAAGTGGCGCATCGACAAGGTTTTTGCAGAGGACCGCCAGCAGCGCGATGACGCGTTCGCGGCCGCCACAGCCCCAGGGGCCCAGGGCGGTGCAGCAGCGGGCAAGGGCAAGGCCATGTACGTGCCGCCCCACCTCGAGCTGCTCGAGTCGGTGGAGCGCTTCAGGGAGAGGCGGCAGGAGGTGAGGCGGGTGCTGACGGAGCTGCCAAAGGTGCCGGAGCCGACTTCAAGCGTCCACAAGATCGTCAAGGCATGCAATGATTGATTGCCATGGCAATCGTCCGGACGAGATCCGTGTCTGTGTGTGTGCAGGCGTGGGAGGACGCTGGGCGTCTCGACATGGATCTCGAGTCAACGCAGCGGCGGCTGCTGATGGTGTTTGCGCGCAGGAGAGACGCGCTTGTCAGCCAGAAGGTCGCTCTACTCGACCGGTGCGCAGAACCGGTCGTTGCGTACATATGTTTCAGTGTGTCAATAAATATGTATCTGTGTGCCTGTGCGCCTTGCAGCTTGGGTCGTATGGTTCACGACGCTGTGGAGTGGACGAGGATCTCGGAGGCCGCCACACACCACCTCAGGACGCTCCAGGCTGAAGTAGGCAACGAGAGTGTCGTGTGTGTGTATATGACGGACGCATGTGCTGATTCGTGGTGTCTTGCTGCAGATAGAGGTGAATGATGCCCGGACGGTGCGGCTGCAGCCGATCGACCCACCGCGTGAGAGAGAGAGAGAGAGAGAGAGAGGGAGGGAGGGAGGGAGAGAGATGGAGGACAGGCAGGAAGACATTTATGTGTGGTCTGTCTGGTCTGGTGTGGTGTGTGTTCAGAGCGGCATCGCCCGCCGGTGGCCGTGTCGGCCTCAAACCAGCCACTCTACTCATCCAGTAAGCAAGCCGTGGACCGACACAGATAGACGTGCGCTGCTAGAGACACACACGCAAACACACAAACCACGACCAATCAATTGTGTTGCAGACCTTCCTGTGTCTCAATCCACCAGCTGTCTCTTCCTCGGTGAGAGATGGCCCGCTTGGTTGTGGTCGTTCACCGTGTGTATGTGTGTGTGTGTGTGTGTCTCACCGACGTCTGCCCACATCCATCCATCCATCCAGCTGATTTGGTGGTGCACATCCGGCAGCTGGTGTCACACCACCACCTCACGTGGCACCTCAAAAAGTGCGTGTGTCTTTCTTGACCAATCGACCTAGACACAACAAACACAATAACCACACCCTGTTTGTTTGTCTCATGTCATGCAGGTTCATCGCGCAGCTCCAGTATGTGGGCCTCACCCACCGCCAGACCATATGGTGAACACACACACGATGTGTGAGTGTACCTGTGTGCGTGTGCGTGATAGAGTGGACCCCGCCTGACACATCCGGCACTTACTGGTGTTAGTGCTGCGTCAGGCTCATGTGTCTGGAGGTCGTCAAGATGCTGCACAGCAACAAAGACAAAGACACGCAGACACAGCAGCGATGGCCACACACGGTGGGAGGAGGGTGGGAGGGGTGGGTGGCCAGACACCAGAGCAGATCAGCTGTGTGTGCGTCATCGTATACATCAGGAGGGCGACGAGGAGCGTCATCACCACACGAGGGGCAGCGCCGAGCTGCTGGCCCGTGCTGACAGGACGCAACTGCCCCTGCTGGTGTACTCGCGACCACAGGTAGGGGCAACACGACTGACTGGCGACATGGCCAATTTGCCGCCAGGCCAGCTGATCGATCCATCGATTGGTCCCTCCCTCGATCAGCTGGAGCGTCTGTTGGTGAAGCTTGGAGCGTGTTTCGACATCACCACCTCCATCCACACTGACAGCGGACACGCCTTCCTGCACCAGGTATATCAATCAATGCACACACACACACCGACAGACAGACAGACAGACAGACTCACACTCATCATGTGTTCCTCCCTCTGTGTGTGGTGTGGTGTGGGTGCGGCACAGGTGTCCATGGAGTTCCCGCACCACTTCCAGCGGCAGATCCGCCAGACGCGCTTCCCCCCCTATCACTCAAAGGCTCAACCAGACAGGCGAAACACATCCGCAAACACTGGTAACTGCACACACATACACGCACACGCATAGACACCCCACCCCCAAGCCGCTTGTCTGTCTCCCCTCTCAGACGAGCACCCAGCGGACAAGCGTGGCGGCACTGGCCGCCCGGCCACGTCATCGGGTGGCCACCCCCACCAGCCCCACCACCAGCAGCAGCAGCACAGCCACGGTGCGAAGGTGGCGGCAGCTGCGGCCGCGGTGCGGTCAGTGACGATGCGCGCCCCCCAGACGAGGCCGCAGAGTGCTGGAGGGGGCGGGGGTAAGGGGGGCGGCGATGACCCCTCGTCGCTGCAGAGGCTGCTGGAGAGTGAGGGAATCGACGACGGTGAGCAAGGAACGGAGAGAATCGGTTGTGTTGGCATGGATGGATGAATGGATGGATGGATGGATGGATGGTGGGTGTGGTAGAGGGTGACGCTGGGCTGTCGCTGGGGAGGGAGGAGGGCGACGAGCCGCAGCCCACCATGGTCAGTCAGTCAGCACAGAGAGATGAGCTGCGTGCTTACTTACACTCCTTGTCTCTGTGCGTGTGCATCCATCGGTTGATCATCGCAGTACTTGAAGGCGTGCAACTGGCTGCCCTTCGTCTGCTACATCCCCCGAGTCGACCCGGTCGTCCTCGAACAGGTAGGTCGCACACCACAGACACAGGCACATCCCTGTGTGTCTTGTCATTCACCAGCGTCACATCCTGCGCTACTACTATGAGCACCTCCCGCGGCCCCGGCTGCCCAGCAGACAAAAGGCAGCTAGCCTCACCGGTCGGTATGAGCCCCAACATCTGCCCGCCACAAACATCCACACACAAATGCGATCGTGCCCGTTTTACTGCACAGGCGACCGTGCCGCCACGGGTCTATCGGCAGCCGCGCAGGATGTGGACGACGTTGCGCGCAGAGGTGAGCGAGGGGGACACATTGTGATATGGATGGACGGATGGATGGATGGAGGGATGGTTGTCAGCTCAGTCGTCAAGCGACGGTGTGCACGAGGGCGGCATCGACGGCCTCCTCCGCAGCGAACACGACTTCCTCAAGTCGCACGACCTCAAGTACGTCCTGCGGCGGCTCAATGACCTCGCCGACACCCACACACAGCGACTGCTGCACGCCTTCGACACCGACAAAAGCAGACGCACTTCTCTGACACGGTCGAGGTCGTTCTCCCGGCAGGAGACCCACCACACGCAGAGCAAGCCTGGCAGCAGGGGAGTGGGTGTTGGTGTAAATGAGGATGGCGGGGTGAGCTATCACCGTATAGGTGGCGGTGTCGCGAGGGGGCCGGGGGCGCAGTTCGACCACATACCTATAGGGCCCTCAGGGCCTGCAGGTCAGTCCAGTGGTGTGGTAGGCAGTCTGTCTGTTGGATTGCACAAGGAGCTCTGTGCGTGTGTGCGTGTGTGGGGTGTGTGTAGAGGAGCCGGCCGATCGTGAGCATCTCCTGCCTTCCCACAATGTGCGCTCATTCTACTACCTGCGGCACCTCAGGTGCCGCGCACTCCGCACTCGGCTTCTCCGCAGACTCAACTTCTTCCGGTGCGGAGGGGAGGGGAGGGGAGACCTTCAGACACGCATACACACACATACACACACACAGAGAGAGAACGAGAGAGAGAGAGAGAGAGAGAGAGCGAGAGAGGCAGAACACAATGGTCCTTCCCCTCTCAGTTCTATTCAGCGGCAGCTGGCCCTGGATGCGCACCAGCACCTGCTGAGAGACATTCCACTAGGTCGAGAGCGCCCATCTGTGCACACACATGTGGTGTGGTGTGCAATTAGTGGTGTGGTGTGTGCATATGGTATCCAAGCAGACCCCCGTCGCGACCGTGTGACGCAGCAGGAGAAGCTCGACTGGGCGGCGGTGCAGCGCGCACACGCGAGGGCGCGGCCGCCGCAGCCCAAAAGCGTCAAGGAACTGCAGACTGAGAGGGTAACGGGCCAAGTCAGACATAGAGGTGTCGATGTCTGTGTGTCACCACGGTGTGTGTGTCTGCTGCAGACAGAAGGCGTCTTGCCGAATGAAGTGGTGATTGGCAACCTGATCTACACCCTCAGACACCAGTCAAATCCTGTCCTGCCGCAGGTATCCACTCAGACGCACACACCCACACCCACACACACATACATGCGTCTTTGTCTTCGCTCCGCCAGATCGACTCAGCCCAGAAGACCCCTTCACAGCACCGGGCGCCCTTCCACAAATGCGAGGTCGCCCTGCAGGAAACCGGAGTGGGTAGGTGACGCACACCACACAAATACGTACACACATACACGAAGAGAGAGACGATCTCCCCCCTTCCCCTCCCCGGCCCCTTCCCGGTGTCCATCTCCTTCAGGTCGGGACAGCTACGAACCCCTCGGCGGCACTGGCAGCGGGGGCGACACAGACATCGCCGTCCGCGACCCCCTGGGCGTGCTGGTCGTCCACGACGCCGTTCTCGCCGACCTCGACCAGCTGCAGGAAGAGATCCTCACCATCGGCACCTTCTTCATCCGCAAATTCGAGAAGCCCCTTGGCGCGGGATCGACCTCCAGCCGGGCCAGCAGGGGTGCGTCCGTGTCGGCGTCTGGGCGGTCGTCAGGAGGGGTCGGGGGAGGCGGGTCGCTGCCGACGCCGGTGATCGACCGGTGCGGCGTGTTGCTGGACGCGTATGAGTGTGAGGGGGCTTACCATGAGGCCAAGGGGCGGCTGGTGGAGGCCTACTGGGAGATATATGAGCACACC